TGTTTGAACTTCAGAATTTAAACACTGCGAAGACTGTAATTAATGAGTTTAATAATTAACACACCTATTTCTGGTTCTGAAAGTTCAAATTGATTTTAATTATATGAAAAGCTATGAAGATAACTCAAGAAGGTCCCACCTTCTCTAGAAAATGGTGGCTATTTAGTCAATATATAACCAATCAGTGTTCTTACAAATTTCTAATTATTAACAAAAATATTACTGTTTAAGGCAAGAAGTTGTCATTGTTAAATAAGCAACTGCCAGATTCATAGCTACACAGAAAAATGATAAGCTCTGTAGGTTTATACAGTTTAACTTTTGTTGGAATTCTGAACCTTGGAAGGTCCTATCCAAGATATGTAATTCGATTAATAGGGTATAAATTAGTGAGATAAAGTAATATGCAGTCATCTGTTGTTAGTGTACTTAATTCCATGAAAGGATTACGTGAAAGCAAATGCATATATAAAAAATGAATATATAACATAATACCCATAAAGTATGGCTGAATATTAAAGTGTATCTATTTAAATTGTTTTGGATATAAAGTAGAGAAGTTGAGAAGACAAACTATCTTATTGAGTAAAATCTCATTTAGATGTACTATTCCCTTTCATTCCTAATCTCAGCAAATACTATATAGTACCCTATGGAATTCACTATTTTGCAGATACTCTTTTTTTTAAGTTATTTATTTTGAGAGAGAGTGTGTGAGCACAAGCAGGGGTGAGAAGGAGAGAGAAGGAGAGAGAGGGAGAATCTTAAGCAGGCTCTACACTGCCAGCACAGAGTCTGATGCAGGGCTTGAACTCATGAACCATGAGATCATAAGCTGAGACAAAACCCAAGAATGGGATGGAGGCTTACCTGACTGAGCCACCCAGGTGCCCCTATGCAGATACTTTTAATTTTTATTTAATTTTTTACTTTTACTTTTTTTTTTTTTTTTAATTTAAGCTCTATGCCCATTGTAGTACCTGAACTCAAAACTCCAAGATCAAGAGTTATCCACTCTACTGACTGAGCCAGGTAGGTGCTCCTATTTTTTTATTAAAAAAAAAAAAGAAAAGAAAAAGAAAAAAAAAAAAAGTCCAACATGGGGCTTGAACTCATGACCTTGAGATCAAGAGTTGCAAGCACTAACTGAGCCAGCCGGGTGCCACTGCAGATAACTTTTTAGAGCTATTTAAATATATACACATGTAGTTGATATGTGAACTAAGCTATTTAACCCATCAGTTTTTCTACTTAACAGTTATGATTATAGAAATTAAGAGATACTAAATAACTTTCATTTACTAGAATTGGTAAATAATAACATCATAATAAAAGTAATATACATTTAAAGCTGTCATCTTTTGGCAAACCATGAGAGACTCTTGAATGCTGACAAAAACTGAGGACTGATGGATGTGGGGGGGAGGAGGGATGCGCATGGAAGAGGGCACTTGTGGGGATGAGCACTGAGTGTTATGTGGAAACTAATTTGACAATAAACTATTTGTAAAAAAAAAAAAAAAACACGCTGTCATCTTTTGCTAATGTGTGGGAAAAGGTGTCCCTACAATTCACCCTAGAAAGATTTACAAGTCTATATAATAATACAGAAAAGTCTTTATAATTCTATGAAGGATTGAAGGACTACTTTTCAACATCCCAAAGGTAAGAAAGTGAAAAAAGGCTTAGAACAAAGACTAGTAGGTGATATTCAGCATACAAAAGTTGTAAAAGAAATAATTTGATAAAATTGCAGTCTTTTGTTTTTATTTGTAAGTAAACCTTTGACAGTAGTCAATGCTCCAAGTGATTTCTAAGTAGGTCTGCTTAGGAGAGGAAGGTAACTTAGTAATGGAAGCATACGATCCCTTGCCAGGCCTTGGTGTCTAAATACCATTCTTCACTAAAAGAAACCAGTGTTCCTTGGAGAAATGGCTAATTCTAAGGTACTTCAAGACAGGGAAGACACATGTGAATTCAAAATATCTGGTTGTTTCATCAGCAAAGAAGTGGTCAAAGGAAGTTGGGGGGGGGTGGTGCAAGGGGGAGGAGGGAACGTCTGTAGGCTATAGGAGCCAGATTGAAAGGAAACTTGTTGGCTAAATCTGAGAGAGTGTGGGTGTAAAAATAGATAAAGACAATAATGGATTGTATCTCATTAAATAAATTAGGAATCTCTGAGTCCACACTGATGCTAGATAAGCAAGTGGAGCAGGAGGGAAGATCTTCCTTACAACAGAATCACAACTGATAAGTGCGGAGGGAAAGATAGGGTGAACTACCACCATTTTGAAGTGACTATAGTAAAAATAGTTTGGCATGGATCAAGTCTAAGTTGATGGTGGTGAGGGGAGTTTGGTGAGGAGCAGGGAGTTTATATGATCTCAAAGCATCTTTCCAGAGATGCTTTATTAGTTGAAAGGGTAAAAAAGTTGTTATTAGAGAAATTACAACACCCTGGACTGGGTGATCAAAATTAATGTTACTAGGGGTCTCTGGATGTGATTCCCTGAGGTCATAGGCCAGTGAATCTGGTCAGGGATACATTACCTGAATGTAAGTAATCACAAGACATGAGACAAATCCACATCGACTGTGGGCATTCCAGGTATTTAGGCTAGCATGAGCAAAGGACCAAAGGTGGAAAAGAACACGCACGCACGTGCACGTGTGTGTGTGTGTGTGTGAATATTTTTTGAGAATAAAGAGTAGTTTAGTTCGCCTGAGGCAATGAATACAAAGACAGTGATGCAGGTGAGGGAGGAATAAGATTATAAAGATAAATCGGGACCATAACATGTAGGGTTTTGCATGTTGGCTGAGAATTCTGTATTTAAATTTAGTAGAGAATATAAACATTGATCTTATTATATACTAATAAAGGAAAGTGCTGGCATGCAATAAGATCAATACCCAAATAGCTTTTTAGAAAGAGTTTTAACAGGATACCAAATGTGAAAGGCTATTTTCATTCTTCCATTCATGCACCTTCCATTTCATTCTTCATGATTGAGCACTGACCATGACCATAGTCATGGTGTGGCTGGTGTAAATAAGAGATGTGGACCCTGTGCTATCAGAGCTTATAGTCCCAGAGCTTTTGCCTAGGTTACCTTTTATATCAAATGGTTTCTTGGTTCAATGCCTAAATGTTACTGGTTTTCTTCCTTGGTTCCCCATTGTTGGGGGATATGTAGCACTGAAGCTCCTAAGTTCTTGGTATGGTCATGTAAGTCAACCACTCAACAAGAGTGGACTGGGTGTGCCTCTCCTTGTGTAGAAGTTGTGATATGGATATATAGTATGTCTCAGTCTGAGGGAGTTTACCTCCAAATCGGGGAAATAAGAAAGAAGAGTTAAATTTAGAAACAATTACAAATCAAGGTAAGATAGTTAATATAAATGCATCTAGCATAAAATTATAAATGAATGTACTGAGAAGAAGAAGAGGGAAAAAAAAAAGTAGGCACTAACGGTCTAGAAAAGCCTACTGAAGAACTGGGGTGTGAACTGGGAAGGATGCAGAGGGATGGAGGACAAATGGCCCTGACACGGGGGCCAAGAATGAGCCTTAGTAGAAGGCACTGCCAAGTGGCACACAGGACTCATCAGGGAGCTGGGCACACTTATATGCTGATCCAGTGGAACCTCCTTGGACTTACTTTAGGTACTTATTGAAGGGATGGGAGACTGAGGATTGACAGGAGTCAGAAAATTCTGTGGCAGTCTAGGTGTGAAGAATTTAGGTTGCGGAAAGATGGTAGGGGACCATCTATTTTTCCTCCAAACATAAATTCATATCCATTAAATGTTAAGTGTACCAAATCTGTGTTAAAATATTTACACAGCCTCCTCCTCTTGACAGCTGGCAAGAAAGAATCCTAGAAGTATGTGGCCCAAAGAATATTTCCAGAGAGGGAACTGTAAAAAGAATTCTGGGCTTACAGGGGTAAGAATTTTAGGTTCATATTTTGGTTGTATCATTTATTAGCTGTGTAGTACAAGACAAATCACTTAACTTCTCTGAATCTGAGTCTCCTTAGTCATAAAACAGGTTAAGAATACCTATTCTATAGGAATGCTTTAAGGATAAAATGAGGTAATATTTGTGAGAGTGTTTTATGAGCTAGACAAATATATTTGCACATGAGTAAGATAATTAGGCAAATAATTTGGTCTGGTCTTAGGCATTCATCCATCCAACTAAATGGCTAGTATGTGCCAATGACCACAGTGAGCTTTGAGGATGGTTAAGACAGTGTCTGCCTTCAGAGTTCCTATTCTAGCTGGGTGGACAGATACAAGTTATATTGTAATGTTTTTATGGGAAACTATGTACAGAGGTGATGACAGGTAGAAGTTTAAATTTAAAAACAATTTCATGTGTTAATTATCATGTAAACTGAAATCTTGTTTAAAAATTTAAAGTCATTCCTAGAGTAGTCAAATTTATAGAGAAAGAAAGGAGAATGGAGGTTGCCAGAGACTGTGGGGAGGCTGGGAATGGGGAGCCTATGTTTAATGGGTACAGTTTCAGCTTGGAAAGATGAAAAAGTTCTAGAGATGGATGCTAGTGATGGGTGCACAACAACGTAAATGTATTTAATGCCACAGAATTGTACACTTAAAAATGGTTAGGGGCACCTGGGTGGCTTAGTCAGTTAAGCGTCCGACTTTCGCTTAGGTCATGATCTCACGGTTCGTGGGTTCGAGCCCCGCGTCGGGCTCTGTGATGACTGCCAGCTCAGAGCCTGGAGCCTGTTTCAGTCTGTGACTCCCTCTCTCTCTGACCCTCCCCTGCTCACGCTGTCTCTCTCTCTCTCCTAGAAATAAATAAAAATATTTAAAAAAAAATTAAAAAAAAAAGGTTAAAGTGGTATATGTTGTGCTATATATTTTACTGCATAACATAAATGTATAAATTTGTATACATAAATGTATAAATTCATAAACAAATGAATTTAAATTCAATCACAGCCAATCTTTATATTAGTACTCACGAAGGCGCAATATCCAGATGGTTGATGCTAAATCCAGAAGAGCAAAAGCCTCCCAGTGTTGTTGATATAGTTAAGAATGCAACGGCCAAAGAATAATCACAGCCTATAAATCCGGCGGCTACCAGGAACACTGCAGGTCCAATCATTCCTGGAGTTAAAAAGTTAACAGAAAAGGAAGCTCCGGTATTAATATTTGCTTGTGCTATCATAATATAGTGCAAATCGGAGGTTTGATATTACTGCCACCTGCTGTAGAAACACTGTGCTGCCTAGAATACAATTTAAATTACATAGTTTTCATGAAAAAAAAAAAAAACTACTGGAAAACACACAGACATAATGCAACTAATGTAAAAGTAAAAAGAAAATATCATTATGGAATATTATTAAATCTACATGTGACCTAGACTCAGCTAAAGTTCTATAAAGAGCAAGAAGAGAATGACTGAAAAATATAGTTCTTGAGAGAAGCAATAGTTGATACAGAAAGATATTTAAAGATTCATATAACCAAAGAAGATAAACTAAATAAACTCTGTTGAATACAGTTAGAAATACACTCCACCTAGGTTTTAGCAATTGATAGAAAAATATACATTTTATTACAGGCAATTAAGCATAAAATATAACAGGAAGGGACTTAATGAATGGGTTGCCATTTTTTCTGTTCTACAGCAGTGCTATCCAATGACCATCTGTGATGATGGAAATGTATTTGTATATACTGCAGCTGAGAAACTTATTTTTAAATTTCAATTAAATGTAAATAGCCATATGTGGATACTGGCTACCATATTGGACAGAGCAGGGGAACAGGAAGCCAAAAAAGAGAAAGTTGGGTAGAATCTAAAGGGATCTATTTCACTTGCAGGTGTGGAAGAATTTCTTGAGAATTGAAACAAGCAAGCAATGGAACAGGACAGCACCTTCCAGCAGTTGCTGCTCAGAAGGTATTTGTAGAATTATTCTGAATAGGGTCTTGTTATAATGTAATTTCTGAAGTATAGCCATCAGCAACTTTCAGGGTCTCTATTTACTCAAGATCTTAAAAAAAATGAAATAGTTATCATAGATAGTTTCAAATTTACCTTTATGAAAGCAGTCTGAAACACACTATTATTTAAGGTAGCTTTAAGTTCTTCGATATATAGCTCCTCATTTAATATAACGTCAGTATATGTTTTTGGATTGAAACATACAATTGAATACAATTAAAACGTATTCACTTAGAAATGGGATAGAGGCTTAAAAATATTATTTTCATTGCAAACTTAGAGATGAAAACAAAATGATTTATAAAATTCTTAAGATGATATTCAGCAAAGCAAGCCATTTTTATAGTTAAGACTAGGGTGGAGATAATAGGATATTATAAAAATAAATCCTCAAAATACATAGTTCAAAAAGAATATTTATTTATTTATTTATTTATTTTTAATTTAGAGACAGACAGGCAGAGTGTGAGAGCAGGGGAAAGGGGCAGAGAGAGATCGAGACAGAGAGAATCTCAAGCAGTATGCTTGTACATGGAGCCTGACATAAGGCTCAATCACACAATCCTGGGATCACTATCTGAGCTGAAATCAAGAGTCAGATGCTCTTCACTTTGATTCCCAAGCCAGACAGAGACCCAGAAAAAAAAAGAGAACTACAGGCCAATATCCTTGACGAATACAGATGCAAAAATCCTCAACAAGATACTTGCAAATCAAATGCAACAGCACATAAAAAGAATTATCTACCATGATCAAGTGGGATTCATTCCTGGGTTACAGGGCTGGTTTCAATATTCACAAACCAATCAATGTGATACATCACATTAACAAAAGAAAGGATAAAAACCATATGATCCTGCCAATAGATGCAGAAAAAGCATTTGACAAAATACAGCATCCCTTCTTAATAAAGACCCTCGAGAATGTGGGGATAGAAGGAACTTACTTAAACATCATAAAAGCCATCTATGAGAAGCCCTCAGCTAACATCATCCTCAACAGGGAAAACTGAGAGCTTTCCCCGTGAGATCAGGAACATGACAGGGATGTCCACTCTCACCACTGTTGTTTAACATAGTGCTGGAAGTCCTAGCATCAGCCATCAGACAACAAAAGGAAATAAAGGGCAGCAGAATTGGCAGAGAAGAAGTCAAACTTTCACTTTTTGCAGATGACATGATACTCTACATAGAAAACCCGACAGACTCCAACAGAAGCCTACTAGAACTGACCCATGAATTTAGGAAAGTTGTAGGATACAAAAATCAATGTACAGAAATCAGTTGCATTTTTATACACAATAATGAAGCAACAGAAAGAGCAATCAAGAAACTGATCCCATTCACAGTTGGACAAAAAACCATAAAATACCTAGGAATAAACCTAACCAAAGATATAGGAGATCTGTACGATGAAAACCATAGAAAACTTATGAAGGAAATTGAAGATGACAAAAAGAAATGGGAAAACATTCCATGCTCATGGATCGGAAGAATAAATATAGTTAAAACGTCATTACTGCCCAAAGCAATCTACACATTCAATGCAATCCCAGTCAAAATTGCATCAGCATCTTCTCAAAACTAGAACTATCTTAAAATTTGTATGGAACCACAAAAGGCCCCGAATAGCGAAAGTAATATTGAAGAAGAAAACCAAAACGGGAGGAATCACAATCCCAGACTTTAGCCTCTACTACAAAGTTGTCATCATCAAGACAGTATGGTACTGGCACAAAAACAGACACACAGGCCAATGGAATAGAATAGAAAACTCAGAATTGGACCCACAAATGTATGGGCAACTAATCTTTGACAAAGCAGGAAAGAGTATCCAATGGAAAAAACAAAGCCTCTTTAACAGATGGTGTTGGGAGAATCGGACAGCAATATGCAGAAGAATGAAACTAGATCATTTTATCACACCATACACAAAAATAAACTCAAAATGGATAAAGGACCTGAACGTGAGACAGGAAACCATCAAAACCCTAGAGGAGAAAGCAGGAAACAACCTCCTTGAGCAATTTCAACCACAGCAATTTCTTACTTGACACATCCCCAAAAGCAAGGGAATCAAGAGCAAAAATGAACTATTGGGACCTCATCAAGATAAAAAGCTTCTGCACGGCAAAGGAAACAATCCATAAAACTAATAGGCAGCTGACAAAATGGGAAAAGATAGTTGCAAATGACATATCAGATAAAGGGCTAGTATCCAAAATCTATAAGGAACTCACCAAACTCCACACCCAAAAACAAACATCCAGTGAAGAAATGAGCAGAAGACATGGACAGACACTTCTCCAAAGAGGACATCCAGATGGCCAGCAGACACATGAAACAATGCTCAGCATCCCTCCTCATCAGGGAAATGCAAATCAAAACCACCCTGAGATACCACCTCACACCAGTCAGAGTGGCTAAAATGAACAAATCAGGAGACTATAGATGCTGGCGAGGATATGGAGAAACGGGCACCCTCCTACACTGTTGGTGAGAATGTAAACTGGTGAAGCCCCTCTGGAAAACAAGTGTGGAGATTCCTCAAAAAATTAACAATAGAACTCTCCTGTGGCCCAGAAATAGCACTGCTAGGAATTTACCCAAGGGACAAAGGGGTGCTGATGCATAGGAGCACATGTACCCCAATGTTCATAGCAGCACTCTCAACAATAGCCAAATCATGGAAAGAGCCTAAGTGTCCATCAACGGATGAATGGATCAAGAAGATGTGGTTTATCTGTACAATGGAATACTACATGGCAATGAGAAAGAATGAAATCTGGCCATTTGTAGTAACATGGATGGACCTTGAGGGTGTTATGCTGAGCGAAATAAGTCCGGCAGAGAAGAACAGATATCATATGTGTGCACATATAAGTGGGGATTAGGAGGAACTTAACGGAGGATTGTGGGCGAGAAGAAGGGGAAAAATAGTGGGGGAGAGGGATGGAGGCAAACATGAGAGACTCTTGAATGCTGAGAACAAACTGAGGGCTGATGGGGTGGGGGAAAGGGGAAGGGGGGTGAGGGGCATGGAGGAGGGCACATGTTGGGATGAGCACTGGGTGCTATATGTAAACCAACTTGACAATAAACTATTTAAGAAAAAAAAAAAGAGTCAGATGCTCAACTGAGTCACCCAAGTGTCCCAGATCCAACCATCTTGTATAGAAATGCACTACATGCATTAAAACATTGTGTTTTAATATGTGAACAAAATAAATGACTAACATCATTTTTATCTTGCTTTGCACTATAAATACAGTAAATGACTGTAAATCAAAACAAACACTGATTCACTTCACTTACCTATAAGGCTAAACACTCTTCGGACACAGATAGTTGAAAAATTCCATTTTGCCCTTAGATTGTCAGCAGCTTGACCAGATAGGATCATACATAACCAACAGCCAAAATAAGGCAGTGCAGATAGAAGCCCATTCTGGAAGGAGTAAGGAGATATAGAATTAACTGGTGGTGGAGGGGAGGGGAGTAAGAACCAAAACAGTATACACATATACACATTCACTGCCACTCAAAAACATAGCAATATACTGTTGATATTTATAGTCCAACCTGCTCAAGGTAATCTTGTTTTTTTATATTTTTTAAAAAAGGTTATTTATTTATTTGAGGGAGGGGGGTAGAGAGAGAGAGGAGTGGCAGAGAGGGAGAGGGAGAGAATCCCAAGCAGGCTCTGTGCTGTAAGCACGTGAACCATGAGAGTCTGACCTGAGCCAAAATCAAAGTTGAACACTTAACCCTCTGAGCCATCCAGGCATCCCATGCTCAAAGTAATCTTGTATGTTATTTTGGGACTTGGGGTGCAGCTTCAGAAAGAGAGGACAAATTTTTCTATTAGCCTATAGATTATGACCATTGAAAAGTTTTTGTCAATTTTCACTTATTTACACATACTTATATAATACTTATATATGTTATATAATATTTACATTTTAAATTATATAAAATTATCATAACATATAAATTTACTATTAACATCCAGGTATATATAAAATGTATTTTATGTATATTTAAAAATTTATATTTCAATTTTAAAATGATATAATTTATTTTATATAGATTGTTATGTTTACATTAAAGACATGAAATAAAAATATATTTATAAATTATATAATAGTTATAGAATATATATTATTATACATATTTATATAAAATATTTTTATTATAGAATAACGTACAGATACAGAAAACCACATGAATCGAATGTTTAGCTTAATGAACTGCTCAAAAATGCACACCATCTAGATCAGGTGTCCACTGCACTATCACATGCTTTGAACAGAGGACAAAGGTAGTGAGCTGATAGACCTCTATTTTTCCCTCTTCTTTTCCTTTAGCTTGCCACCTAAACAAAATAAAGCACCAGAAGATATGAAACAGAACTTATCCTGGAAATGAGTTATTTGTTTTGTAGGAAATGATTCGACAGTCAAGTTTTTAGGAAATTACAAATTCTGTAAAATGAAGAACACACGCTTGGAAAAAGGAAATTTCTTTCTTCATTTTTCCCCAGAATAAACCTGAGGTGTCAAAACTAAATGGCCTAATTCTGATAAAAACAAATGTTTTTATAGTCTGAAAAAGATAGGTACACCTGTTAGTGTTTTACAAACACACAAAAAAGGTAGAAAGATATATTATCAGTGATATTTAAATCTGGTAATAATTCTATTTAAGTATCATTAATGGTAGAAACCAATAAAATCTATTAATATTTTAAATTTAAGTATGCTTAAGAAAAGATTTAGGGGTACCTGGGTGCCTCGGTAGGTTAAACATCCGACTTCGGCTCAGGTCATGATCTCACAGTTTGTGGTTTGAGCCCTGGGTCAGGCTCTGAGCTGTCAGCACGGCCTGCTAATGAAGTCTGTGACTCCCTCTCTCTCTCTGTCCCTCCCCTATCAAGCTCTGTCTCTCTCTCTCAAAAATAAACATTAAAAAAAAAACTTTAGAAAAGATTTAATTTTTTTCATTATAGGTTATGGTCCTCTATACTCAAATGCTGTATATTTCCAGCTCTACTTCTGTAGCTAAGATTTTTGTTTATTTCTGGTAATAAGCTGAGTAATTTCCTCTTTAAATTTTATTCTATTTAGATTTCTGTATAGTGGGATTGCATCTATCATTATTTGTGGCAGAATCCGACATATGAATAAACTGTAGCAAAGAAAAAAGTGGATTTTCTGAGCTTGGTCTTGTTCCCTGGTGGGATGCGACTGATAATTCATTAGAGTTACTGGATTTTTTCCATTTAAAGTTCAAATGTTAAAAATTCTCCCAACAACCTAAAACTATGACCTTCTACAAACTATTATAAATCTTCAACATTTATATATCCATGGGTATCTCCCACAGTTGTTAAGCTTTCTGTTCAAGGATATGATTCCTTGTACTCATTTAAAAAATTGATTCTAAAATATTAATATCCAAAAGAGGATAACAGATATTGCCTCAACTCTCACCGAGCTATAAGAAATAGGGATACTAGGGACACCTGGTTGGCTCTGCTGGTTAAGTGTCCTCCTCTTGATGTCGGCTCAGGTCATGCATGATCTCGTGGTTGTGAGATAGAGCCCTCCATTGGACTCTGCCTGAGAGTGTGAAGCCTACTTGAGATTCTCTCTCCCTATCTCTACCCCTCCCCCACTTGTGTGTGCAGTCACACATGCGTTCTCTCTTTCTGAAAATAAATAAACTTAAAAAGCCAAAATCAAGAGTCAGATGCTCAACCAACTGAGCCACTCAGATAGCCTAAAAAAGAAATTCACTTAAAAAAAAAAAGGGCTTCTATATAACTAGAGAATTATTTTCAAAATTTGTTCACATTTCTGGGGCGCCTGGGTGGCTTAGTCGGTTAAGTGTCCGACTTTCGCTTAGGTCATGATCTCGCGGTTCATGGGTTCGGGCCCCGCGTCGGGCTCTGTGCTGACTGCCAGCTCAGAGCCTGGAGCCTGTTTCAGTCTGTGACTTCCTCTCTCTCTGACCCTCCCCTGCTCACGCTGTCTCTCTCTCTCTCTCCTAGAAATAAAAACCTTAAAAAAAAAAATTAAAAAAAACAAACAAAATTTGTTCACATTTCTTTGAATTTGGAAAGAAGATACCTTTTGGTATAAAAATGTAAGATAAATGATTCTGGTTTTATTTATTTATTTATTTATTAAAAATATTTTAATTTCTTTTTTTTTTTTTAATGTTTTATTTATTTCTAG